ATTCCGAGTGAGCATTTAAAGTAGTTAAAATTATGTCACTTCATTATTTTTATTTTCTTTTTTAAATTTTTATTAATGTTTTTTTTTTTTTTTTTTTGTTCTGGAGACAGAAAGAAAGACCTGACAGTGGCCACTAAAGTTACCACAACATTAGATGGAGTTAAATCAACTGAGATAATGCAAATAAAGTTGTTTGTAATATCTCAAAAGGAGACTAATGTTGCTTTCTAATTGTGCAAGCCATCTCTTGGTTCACAAAAACTTGTTTTGTTTTGCTTTTTTAGAATAAAAATCATATTTTTAGATTAACTGAGAGACTACTGTTACTTGTCCCATCCGAGTCTGGTGTCCGACTCTAGTGCAGAAGAACAGCCTAGGAACTGGAAAATACTCATGGACCACTCATCCTGCTATGCTGAGTGCCAATGCGGGCAAAAACCTTGACATTCAGGTTGAAGGACACTTTCTCTGGCCTCCTGACCATTTTATTCAATTTTTTTTAATCACACACACACCAAACACTAGGTGTAGCAAACATGCATGTGAGTTTGTCAAAGCTCTCTGTTTTTGCTGTGAGTGTTTAGTGCTGGCACACGAGGTTGTGTTGAGGCCTTATGTAAGAGAGGAAATGTAAATTCCATGACAAAAACAAACAAATAAACCCTGAGCCTCATAAACCGTGTCATTGGTTTAAGGATAAATGGAAAATAACATAATTTGGACCTGTCAAGGCTGGACACCGTGCCCATGTCATCATGACACCTGTGGTTCTAAGAGCAACTTGGTACACACAGTCCGAGCTGGAGGAAAGGACAAACATCACCTATGCTACGGTGCCTGGGAGAATGATAAAATGTAGCCTTTAGAGCAATGAAGAGAAAGAGAAGGAAGGCTTTTGGACTGTGGTTTTAGACACAATAAATTACATCTACTCCCTGAAGCTGGTCTGAACCTACTTGGAAGCGGGTGGGAAACAACATCTGTAGAAGCCTTCGCCGGTGCTCTGTATTTATGGAAAGAGAAACCTCCCGGTGACCTGGGAACACGCTTACCCAATTAGCAGCCTCGCCGACGGATCAAATGGAAGTGAAAACATTCACTGCCGTGACGGAGACGCATCACAATGCTCCATTCATGCCGTCGAGCCCTATGCTTTGGGGGTGAGGTGGGCTCGGGGAGGGTGAAGGGGTGTTCTTTGAGGCATGCGATGGGGAGGTGGGATAGGTGAGAGGGAGTAACGAATGCAACAAGGAACTGACTTACCTCACCGTCTTCTTTGACGTGTCAGCGGAGGCCTCATTCGTGGCTTAATACTGATTCAAACACTGTTCAAAGGTGTTGTTTTTATAAGGTTATATCCCCTGCACCTATGCCTCTGCATCCTGCTGAACTCCCCATTTTCTCCAATCCAACAAAACCACATGTTTTGTCCTGTGGGACTAGGTGCTGAGGGGGTCAGAAACCCTGAGAAACAGCACAAGAGAGGCTCTTGACAGTGCAGGACTCTGGGGAACAAAGGCTAAACATCCTTATGGCCTGCAGAGTGTTATAAGTTTTTTTTTTAAGCTGTTAAAATCATGTCTGCTTCTTGTGAACTGATTTATTTTTAAGCCATGGATTCCCATAGCTCTCATGAAATTTCATACCGTTATTTATTTAAGTAAAGTGGGAAAAA